TTCGGATGCGATTAACTGACATTTAATCAAATTCTCTCCCCTAAACAATGGTTTTGCAATGAAAATGTTGATTATGCTTTGCAGAAATCCAAAAAAAAAATTCTCCCACAAGGTAACAAGTACAGATGTAGAAGATGTTAGATGTAGACTCCACCTTGAATTTTAGATGGTATGTACACCGCCGACAAAAAGTTAAGTTCATGCACAGACAATGCTTCTAACTCAAATTTCACTCCTCTTTCCAGCATCAATTGTAGTTCCAATCTAAAAGAACAAAACTACTTCATGTTACTTAATCCAGTCACATGATGGATGAAATAAGAAAGCTTACAGTCTCTTACCTCCACCTTGGCACTTCTCTTTGTAAGTAGCATCTACGTAACATGGCTTCTGTTTTCCTCTTGTCTGGCATGGTTATAAGGAACCTTAGTAAATGTTACTAAAAGAAATAGTAATGCAAATGTAAATAAAGCACCATATCCCTCACCTTGTGCTGTCAAGGGAAGGAGACACTGTTGTGGAAGTAGGTACTTCTCCGAGTCCAAAGGGAAGCCTCCAAGCCAGAGTATCTCAGGGACCCGTAGAAATTTTGCATCATAGGCCATTTGCTTACATCACAAAAGAGTGGGTTAAATTTGGATTGTAACTTTATTTACATTACACAATATGAGCAGTCTACAAAAGAATTGACTTATTCAGCAGTTCTCAATCCTCAATATTTGCAATCTTCCTAGGTAGTTCACATGTTATTTAAGTTTGTAAACTACAGATAACAAGTTCATAGAGTGATCTGGAAGCCTAACCATAGAACCAAACCGATATGTGGACAGGATGTCAAAACCGTACGGATCACAGTCTACCAAGCAATAGGTAGGGAGATGCAAAGTATCAACAAGAAGCCCCAAAAACCTGGCAAACATAAATGAAAAGTATGTAAAGTATATAGACAAAAGGGAAAAGAAAGTGCAAACAGATAAGGCAAGGCACTCTGTTACCTTCTTGTGGAAATATCAGGATATCCACGTCCCTGTGAAGAAAACGAAAATAGCACACCAACAAAAAAGTTTAATAAAAGCTGTTTCAAGGATCAATGAGAGTTATTTGGCCAAAAACAAGGGTGTATGCTTACAGTGATAACGATGCAGTGGTTTGTGTTGCAGAACTGGTCATTTGCCAATCGTTGAAAAACTATACAGAATACGAATAATGGTTTGTTCATAGAAACACACATCAAAATCAAATGATATCCAGCTAAAGCACCAGGGTTGCTAACAAAAAGAGTAATTACCTGATTCTTTCTCCACAACAAGTATGTATTTCGCTACACTAACAATATCTGCAGGTTAGAATTAATGATTTGAGCATGTTTTTCGACTTCAAATGACACTTAGGGTTGATTATGTAATTACCAATGAACTTGTAAAGTTTACATTATCGAATTTGAATATCCATTGATTTTAAACATGAAAATTTTAATATTTTAATTATTCTCTCTTAGTTAATCATCTGAATACCTTTGACCTCTTCAACATGAATGGGAACAGGAAAGGCCTGTATGTGAACCAGATGCAGATGTTTAAGTTCAGACACAATAAAAATATGATTATGCAGAAGATGTCATCAAATCATTGTTTTAACATTTTTTTAAAAACATGTTCCATTCTTACAGTGTTTGGCCTATTTATGCAATCAAACATATTTCCAGCTTCTGAGAACCTTAACCAGCCCATTACCAACCTATAATGAGATAAAAACATTAATTATCAGTATGAGTTGACAATACTTAAACCATGATCATAGTGATATCAACTCAACGAAAAAGTACCATAAACCTTTGAACAATTTTACCAACATTGTAAGGAAAGTTGAACCATACTGAACTAACAGGTGCAACCCCCAAGAATAACAATGTATTCAACAGACCAAGAATACACAAATGTAAATGTAAATGATGATTGGCATAAGTCATTTTTATGAAAAATCAAGCAGCAATGTACGCCATTATCTTCTTGTCTTCGAAAATCAAGCGAAATTTTCATGCGTCCCCTTTTCCTACGGACACCTGCCAAAAGGAGGCAACATGAAGTAAATACCCCAAATGCTGTATGCGGCCTTATAAAATTATTAGAAGCTCATGTGGCAATTTCAGGAGTCTACTACTACGATTACTAATCATACATAACACGTTGGAGCACATTACTATATATAAATAGCTATAAATTTGATAAGGCCGATATAAGAGTACCCACCACATTCAGATTGTGGCGACTACACTGCATAAGGATGCATATGTCATTGATCGCACGGTCTACAATTGACTGATCTGCATTGTAAATTAAGCAGAGAATATTACTAATTACTTGGAGAGGAGAGACCATGGACATAATGCATCAAGAATTTCCAATTAGAAAATATCACATCTAAACAAATATACCATATGTTCTCATGTTATCGTACCACAAATCAGCAGGCCTCAATTTCTATGCCCACGATAATTTGAAAAATACAATGCATTTTTACCAAGGTTTACTTAATGTAAAAAGAAGAATAACATTTATCATAATCCAAGTTCAAGGTCTTATAACAAACTATATCGTACAGCCCATATACTAGAGATTTATTCTTTAACATTGGAAATGAAAAATAACTCAGATTCACCTGAAAATACAGAAGGATGCATGTAATAGATATCTCTCTTAGACCCATGTCTGTTTTCTTGCAGAAGTTGCTGAACAATTACTAGAACCCTAAGCAAAACATCTGAAACAGATTCGTGGAACCGGGTAATCAGTAATGCATACATTACATAAATCTCTTGTACATTTATGATAGAGTTCAATTGTCTGTTATGTCCTTAGGCTGCCAATCAAAAATGGAAGATGAACACTTATTTCAGCTCATTCTGAAAAAGTAGTCTGTGTATTGTTAAAAAACGAAAAACAAAATCTAATCTGCACTACATGAAAAGTTAAATACCATACCAAGCGCAACATAACCTACCCAATCTACGCAAATGGCTTTCCCTTCGAAGTGTGAGGGTCTCCTTCAAAATTGGCAAATCAGAGCTGCAATAGCTGCGCATAACAATGTACCAGTTTGGATAACTAATTAGTAATTACTACCCAATCTACGAAATTATTATTAATTTTCCCGGAATATCGCACCCAAAGAAAAAAAGAATACTGAACATATTAAGAACTCTGTGGTGCTTGTTTGGTTGCTGAGAAAAACCAGGAAAATCTGAACGATCAACTAAAATCGAGAAAGTAAGCTTAGCATTTAACCAATTCGAATCGGGCTTCGTGCAGTAATTTCTGAAGCGATCGATGAGAATCTCCGGGGACCGTCCATTGCTGAGATCTTCAACTATAGCTCGAGTAAATTCTGCGCTCCAAAAAAATTTAACAACAAAATGAATGAGAAACTATAAATTAGCGTCTACTTGAAGAAATTGATTTCGAATTGGTTTAAAATATATAAATTGACGAGGACCTCTGATTTTTCTTAGCAAATCGCAAGGCCGAGGCTGTGAGCTCCATCTTGAGTGCTTTCCCTCCATAATTCTTGCGTTAATGGAGATTCTTTTAAAATGATTTCTGGGTATTTATAGCTTGCTTGTGGGCCGGGTAAGTTTAGATCCTTTTGCTAAGGAATAGAGCTTCTAGAACTTATGTGTTTGTCAAATTTGGGCCTTTTATACTTGGTTCTGGTGTAGAAACTAATGGCATGTTTACTTTCAAGAAATGGAGGAACTTAAGAATAAGGGAATAATGAATTCGTAATGGAGAAGTTGATTCAATTCCAATTCCTTATTTTCAAATTCTTCAATTACTCGAATCATGACTTCCCATATTCAGTGTAAGTAAACATGCCCTAGAATTCGTAGCAGCTGTAAATTGGGAAAATATGAGCTAATTGAACAAATGCTAATGGTAGCAATTGGATTCCATAAAGAGAATGTGACTGACCAACCTTATCCACCCATAAGATTAAAGCTCACGTCTTTTACTCAACAAAGTCATTTATTCTTCTTGATGGAAGTCAAGTGTGAAATTCTAAATAGAGAATAAATGACTTTGTTGAGCAAATGATGAGTAAGTGAATGAGATATATTATGATGAAAAGTCCTTTGAAAAAAAAAATGTTGTTACATAATGACAAACAACAAGCTGTAACGAAAATTTTGATGAAATGCAATGACCGACACCAATTTGATATGTGGAAAAAAAAAAATTAACCATAATATTGATGGATTTAAATTCAAGGAGCATTTCTAATATAAAAAAATTCTTAAGAAAAAGCGTGTGTTGGTGTATTAATGACGGTGCCTCGTCCACATGTTGTGGCCCGACGTGTAGTACACGTCGCACACGGATCAAACACAGCTGAGAGGCTTGGACTTTCAGATTGAGATCTTCAGAGATCCCTGTTCGGTTCATTTTTACACATGATTTTTCATGTTATTCACCTATTATTTTGAGTTAGTTCTTGACATTTTATAGCTTTTTACTTCCTCAGTTGAGAGGCTTGGACTTTCAGACTGAGATCTTCAGAGATCCCCTTATTGCACAGATAGCTGAAGCGCCTGGACCGGCAGAGATCCATGCTGGACAAAAAGGAGGGGCCTTTGTCATCCAAGAGCAAGAAGCTCCAGCTCCTCCAACATGGCCCGCTCCAGTTTCTCAATTTTGTGGGCAAATATTACTTAATTATGCATGCTATTTAGTGATTTAATTCTTTTTATTTCCTTGTATTTTTTGGAATGAGAAGATTTATAGGAGTATATAACATAGTTTAGGCAAATTGCATGTACTGATTGAATTGATTTGTCAGTTGTGTTTGACAAATTACAAGATGCACGGGCAATTACTCTACATTAACAAAAGTAAAGAGGATCCTCTTTTCAAATTCATGAATATTTATTGGTACTTTGACATAATACAATATTCATAAGAAATGATATATAGTATGAAAATACATAAACTTTTGGAATGGTTTCTTCAAGTACGTCGTTGTGTGATTTCCACATTTCTACAACGTTGCTTTCTTCCTATCACTTTAACAAGCCAATCTGTTGTTCCATTAGAGAGTACAAAATATCCCACAGATATTCCAATTACCACCCCAGATGCATACCCCATCAACACTACCTTCCAATCAAAACCATTCCCATGCTCCAACTCATCCTCTTGTTGGAATGAGGATGGCGGTGGTTGATGTGCACCGCATGTTTTAGAAAGTGGCAATCCACACAATCCTACATTTCCACTATATGAATCATAGTCAAATGTATCAAATTGCTTACCATGAGGTATGGTCCCCACAAGTCGATTTTCTGAAACGTTGAACTTTTCAAGTGATGTCAAATTTACCAATTGCTCCGGAATATCACCAAAAAGTCTGTTTGAAGACAGATCTAACCATTCAAGATTGCACATATCGCCAAATGATGGTGGAATTGTACCTGTAAGCTCATTATGAGAAAAGTTAAGCCCCTTCAATAATTTAAGCTTACCGATTACTTTTGAAATCTCTCCTCTGAAAGTGTTGTTTGAGAAATCAATAGTTGTGAAGAAAGTTTGAATCTTCACCATTTCAATTTCGAAGCCTTTAATTGTCACTACCACAGTATCCTGATAGTAGCCCTCTCCCATATATTTCAGTTCATGTTCTTGCGAGTTTATCATGGCCGTCAAATGTTCAAAATATTTTGTTGGCAAGAGACCGCTAAACCGATTGTAGGAGAGGTCCATGATACGCAATTTTTGGAATGGAAACTTAGTTTCCGGAATGCCTATTTCACCATAGAATTTGTTAGACCTCAAGATAAGAACCTGCAACTTCGGAAGAGATTCTAGCCAATTTGGGAATGTGCCTTGAATTTTGTTGTTTCCAAGGTCTAGAACTTCCAACTCTCGACATGTGAGCAAAGTTGGCGGCAACGACCCTTCCAACTGATTTCCATTAAGATCAAGATTTCTCAAAATGTTTCCCTTAGAAAATGTCCCAGGAATCACGCCATGAAATTTATTATTCCGTAGATCCAAAACAGAGAGGCTCTGGCTGAAGTTCCCTATGCATTGATGAATTTTGCCTCTCAATTTATTGTTAGACAAATCAAGGACTACAAGCGAAGTCAAGCTGCAAATGGTTGGAGGCATCTCTCCAGTCAATTGGTTGTTTGATATGGAAAAGAAAAATGTGGAAGGTGATGGAATTGGAAGCTCTCCTTGGAGAGAATTGTTGTGAAGGTTGAGATATCCAAGGTTTTTCCACCGAAGGTGTCGTGCAGTGCCTGTCAAAAAGTTGTGAGAAAGATCCAAATAATACAACGAATCTTTTGCGACATCCCAAAACCATTTGGGAACTTCGCCTTGAATTCGGTTGTGGGAAAGGTTTAACATGTCCAAGTTTGGTGAGGCTCTTAGAAAGTATGGGAACTCACTTATGTTGCAAGACGACAAAGCTAGGGAATAAAGTTGAGGCCAGCTGTTGTTACTCAAATGGTTGAAACTCAAGGATAGATGATTAGAGGAAAGATCAAGCGAAAAAAGACTTTGGAGTTTTGAGAACTTTTCAAACTCCACAGTGCCACTCAAGTTATTGGATGATAGATCAAGGTCTGTAAGGTTCTCAAGTTCAAAGATTGATCTCGGAATCAGGCCATGCAGTTTGTTACTTCTGAGGTTTAATGACTCCAAGTTTGGTGAGGCTCTTAGAAGGTATGGGAACTCACTTATGTTGCAAGAAGACAAAGCTAGGGAATAAAGTTGAGGCCAGCTGTTGTTACTCAAATGGTTGAAACTCAAGGATAGATGGTTAGAGGAAAGATCAAGCGAAAAAAGACTTTGGAGTTTTGAGAACTTTTCAACCTCCACAGTGCCACTCAAGTTATTGTATGATAGATCAAGGTATCGAAGGTTCTCAAGTTCAAAGATTGATCTTGGAATCAGGCCATGCAGGTTGTTATCATTTAAATAAAGGATTTTCAAAGAACGAGATTGGAACTCAATGATATTACCGCTGAGTTGGTTACTTATGAGGTTTAACCCCTCCAATGATGGCAAACTACCTAACCAAGATGGTATTGTTCCGTTGAGTTGGTTCCCATATAAATAGAGGAAGGTCAAGTGTCGAGGAATAGGACCCACCAGTTGTTGTTTTGAAAAATCATATAAAGAAGAGATCGATGTCGAGTTGCTATCAACTTCTGGAAATTGACCGACATAATTGTTGCCACCAAGATTCAAGCGAACGAGGCTCTCAATGTTTAAAAAGAACGACCATGGGATTTGGCCACCAAAACTGTTCAACGAGAGGTCCAACTCGATGATTTGTGTGAGGTTACCAACAAATGCAAGATATGATCCTACAAAACTGCAATTGCTGAGAGACAAAGCTCTCAAAGACTTGAAATTTCTTGTCAGACGATGCCAATCTACTGAAATTCTAGTTCGAGAGAGCATTAAGGTTTCGAGTGGACTGCTCCAGTTAGAATTGGGGAGAGAACCTGTGAGATTTTAGTTATACCTTAAATCTACGAGTCGAAGATTTGGTCGGTGGAAAATACTTTCTGGGAAATTTCCTTGCAAGTGGCAATTTTGGAGTCTAAGAGTTGTCAGAGAAGAAGAGAGATTCTTGAAGGAATCAGGTACAACTGAAGACATGTCAACACCGTCCAGTTGAAGCTCCTTAAGATTGGTTAGGTTTTGAACAATTCTGTTAAAATTAAGAGTATCTAGTCTCAGAACTGAAAGTGAATATTGCAAGAGATTGAGTGAAGCCAAGTTGGAAAGGCGGGAAATTTCGGAAGGGATTGGGCCACTGAAATTGGAGTCTGAGAGGTCAAGGTAAGTCATACTTACAAAGCCACCAAATTTGGATGAAATTGGGGAACCTCTGAAATCATTATAAGAGAGGTCTAGCCTCTTGAGATGGCCAAGAGAGAATAAGCTGCTATTGGAATGGATATTGCCTTGAAGCCCACCAAAATGAAGGTTGAGACCGATCACATGACCAGTCATCTTTTCACAAGTGACTCCACTCCACGCGCAACAATCCTTGCCTTTCTGCCAAGTAATTGTACTATTAGAATAAAGAGTTGTTCCATTATATAGTTCTTGTTTAGAAGAGGTATCAATGGAAAAGGAGTTCTTGAATTGAAGCAAAGCAGAGCTGTCGTGGGGATGGCATAAATGCCTTGAAGAAAGAGAAGAGGAAGAGTTAGATGATGATGAACAAGTAGAGTTGAATTGAAAAGTAGTAAAGAGCAGGAAGAGGAGGCACAACCAACCCATCTTTCCTTCAAAATCTAAAAGTATATATTCTTCTAAATAATTTTGTGAGCAACTCTGTCCTGTAGATGTTGATATTTATAACAAGTTTGGGCAACAGTGATTTATCTATAATGTCACGATATGAGTCTAGTAGATGTGGCATAAGGTTGTCCTGCATTTAAAGTTTCCACAGTGCTAAGATGGCAAGTACTTAAGTTTGTGGAAAATCTTGTGGAAAATTTGGCAACCAAGGCGTTGATTTGGTATTTGGTCTTAGTAGGTATAATTTCTGCGTGTTCAAATGGTTTCCACGTGTTACCTCCAACTTCTACTAGTCAAAAGTTGTCCAATTTCTGCGTGTTCAAATGGTCTTGCTCAATCTTTTTCACATTTTCTTTAGATAAATAAAGTCATCAACATAAAAGTTAAACAAATCCTTTAGATAAAATCTAAATATTATAAAGCTAGTTCCTATATAGTAATAAAAAACATATTGCAACTTAATTATATAAAGATCGTACTGGGATCGGTTGTGGGGCTTGGGGAAAGTAGCTAAGGTGGGTTGTTGCGGGGGAAAGGGAGAAGAGAGAAGGTTGTTGCAGTTGAGATTAATTATTTTTATTTATTTTAGCTTTTAAATCTTATTTTTATTTCTTAATTATTTATTTATTTAAATTGAATTTAAATATTTTTATTTTTAAGAAGCTCCAGTTCCTCCAGGAGGGCCCGCTCCAGTTTCTCAATTTTGTGGGCAAATATTACTTAATTATGCATGCTATTTAGTGATTTAATTCTTTTCATT